AAAAAACCTACCATTATTTATTTCCTTCACCTACATATTTTTTAAATTTTATTTATATATTAAAAATTTAAAAATAATTTTTATTCTCATCTATTTTTAATAAATAATTAAATTTAAAAAATATTTATAGATTAAAAAATATTTATTTCATCTAAGAAACATAAAAATACAATTATTATTTTAAAACAAATTCTAAATCCAAAAATCATCTAATATTTTAAGATATTAAGATAGGCAAAAGGTACCCGTTTGCCCCTTAACTTTTCAACTTTGAGGGTTTTTACCCTCCATATTACAATATATGGATTTTTGCCCTCCATATTTTCGAGTTTGAGGAAATGAGACAAAATTTAATGTCGGAGCGTCACGTGTAGCACGTGCACCGTTGGCCTCCGTCAAGTGTGCACATGTCAGCGCCACCTCAGACTTTTTTGACAACTTGGCATGCCAACTTGGAACCACATGAGCAGGAAATCTACCCCCACTGCTGACTAAAGGTTTGAAAAAAAAGGTTAAATCCTCGATTCAGTCCCTTAACTTTCATTTTTGAACTAAATTTACCCTCGAACTTCAAAATATTGTGACTTGGTACCAAAAATATAATTTAATAAATAAAAATTTCTTTTTTTTCTTTTTTCTTTCCTTTCCTTTTTTTTTTTTCTCCTTCTCTTTCCTTTTCTCCTTCCCCTCCCTATTGGGTTCGAAGGAACCCAGCACCAGGCGTGTTGGGTTCCATTGAACCCAAGCGTGTTGGGTTCGAAGGAACCCAGGGCCTGGGTTCGAGGAACCCAAGCGTGCGTGCTCTGTACTCTTTTATCTCTCTCTCCGCCTCTGATCGATGTAAGTATAAAATCCTCATCTTTGGTTTTTTGTTTGTTTGCCGAGAAAGTAGGTTGGAAAATCAGAGAAATTGCTGACTCAGGTATTTTAGTGTTTGAAATTTCATATTTGATAGTGATAGTATAGTCATCTAACTCCTTGTCTGCTTACGTCTTATGTCTATAGTCAAGACATCTGCTTGTTTTGCTGTTTCTGCAGATCTGTTGTTAAACAATGAGAGAGATCCTTCACATTCAGGGTGGACAATGTGGGAACCAGATTGGTGCTAAGTTCTGGGAAGTGGTCTGTGATGAGCACGGTATTGATCCGACAGGACGATACAATGGAAACTCTGATCTGCAACTGGAGCGTGTGAATGTTTATTATAATGAGGCTTCGTGTGGGCGATTTGTCCCGCGTGCTGTGCTCATGGATCTGGAACCAGGTACTATGGACAGTGTCAGGACTGGTCCCTACGATCAGATCTTCAGGCCTGATAACTTTGTGTTTGGTCAATCTGGCGCTGGTAACAACTGGGCTAAGGGCCATTACACTGAGGGAGCTGAGCTCATTGATGCTGTTCTTGATGTTGTGAGAAAAGAGGCAGAGAATTGTGATTTGTCCCAGGCGCTGGTGCTGGGTTCCTTCGAACCCAGTAGGGAGGGGAAGGAGAAAAGGAAAGAGAAGGAGAAAAAAAAGAAATTTTTATTTATTAAATTATATTCTTGGTGCCAAGTCACAATATTTTGAAGTTCGAGGGTAAATTTAGTTCAAAAATGAAAGTTAAGGGATTGAATCGAGGATTTAACCTTTTTTTTTCAAACCTTTAGTTAGCAGTGGGGCCCACAAATAAAATTGGTAGCAGGTAGATTTCCCGCTCATGTGGTTCCAAGTTGGCATGCCAAGTTGTCAAAAAAGTCTGAGATGGCGTTGACATGTGCACACTTGACAGAAGCCAACGATGCACGTGCTACACGTAATGCTCCGGCGTTAAATTTTGCCTCATTTCCTCAAACTCAAAAATATGGAGGGCAAAAATCCATATATTGTAATATGGAGGGTAAAAACCCTCAAAGTCAAAAAGTTAAGGGGCAAACGGGTACCTTTTGCCTATTAAGATAAGGGAAGTATTGTCTTTTGCAACATTGTCTATGGTTATTGCTTAACTTCAGTCATTGACGTTATCATCAAAATATTTTATTTTTATTTTTATTTTTTTTAAATAATAAATTAAAAATAAATTATTTTAAATTCTCAACTCCTAAAAAATAATT